TTTTTTCAAATCAAAATAGTGCAAAAGCACATGTCGAAAAAACACTTTATCGCGTTCCATTTTTCACAAAGCAAAAGAAATTGTTGTTTAGGAAAATAATTGTGTATGCTGACTGAATGTTATCGAGAAATGTCGAAATTAATCACAAACTACCTGTTTCGTTAGTAATGACTACTAGAACTGTTTGCATTGCCATCTAACATTTGCGGGCGGAAACTAAGTTAAGGTCCTAATATATTCGATTACGAATCGAAGTGAATATGTACGCGACTCTCGTTTGTATGTGTTATCATGTTCATAACGATTTATATTAGGGTGTATATCAGTTGGACACGGGGCAATTGGACACAGTCCAATCACAAGTCGCTGTTCCAAGGGACCCTACAAATGTCTCTAATCACACGGTGCTGTGATTGGCTGTGTCCAAATGCACCGTGTCCAAGTGCACCGCTCCTTTTATATTATAGGATTACGTTTGACATCCAGTAAATTCGACGATCGCCCTTACATGGATGTATGTATGTGTGCGAGCAAATGGACGGGGAGAAATGTTCGCATAAGAAGTGCCACATCTAACTGTTCATCTAAGGAGATGTTAGATGAACAACTTGCTACATTGATTTCCGAACAAGTTAGCACGTTAGATAATTGCGATGTTGAGCATTCATATTCTAATGTAATTTGTGCAAGTGGGCCTTTGTTAGTAACAAATTATAATAAAGTTTGGGTCGCGGAGCTGTAGTGTACGTAGGCTGAAAGTTGCAATTCTCTTTCAACGAGGCTGCGTAACTGAGCAAACTAAAGCTCACGCGCCGAACATTTTTGGGCCGGCGGCGAGCATTCGAATTCCGTTGACGACTTGTCCGTGTGCGGTGTTGTTTTTATTTTTTCTTATCTTAGGACATGCAATTAATGCTTTCCCAGTATAACACATTAGTCTTATGTGTGTAACACATTAGTCTTATGTGTATAATATTTACGTTAAACAAGCCTAACACTTCCCTAATTATCCTAAGTCTCATAGCGTGTTCAACTAGCCCTGGGTTAATCGCTCCGAGAGCGATTAATAACGTCATAAGTCTCTACTAGCCAATCATAAAGCTTATAAGTACTTGTTCGATCAATAAACGTAAGCTGAATAACCCAGAGTGGGTTAACCCAGAGCCAGTCGAACATGCTATTAGTTCACTTAGCCACACCGTCTCGTTGAAAGAGAGCCGTAACTTTAGCCCTATGTACGCTACAACTCCGCAACCCAAACTTTATACTATTATTTTTCACAAACAAAGGTCCACTTGCACAAACCCAGGGAAGATGTTCATGCTCAACATTGCAGTTATCGAACGTGCTATGACTTGTTCAGAAATCAATTTAACAAATTGTGGCATCTCCTTGTAATAGGCAGACAGCATAAGTACAGTGCGCTGCGCCGCACGGACTTGCATCTTAGATGTGGCAACGCTACTTACACCTTAGACGTGGCAACGCTAGCTCGTATGTCTAAGCTTGAAATCGCGTCGCGCAACTAACGTGCGAGACATCCGCTGCCATCTGGCGGCAGTCTCTGAACTACAAAATCTGCGTTATCAGCACTTTCGAAGTTTGGAATCAGCTCCGACATCCCCTTAAGACTTGCTCGATATTTAAAAATATTTACCTTAAAACTGAGCCCACTTCCGACGCAGAAATATCAAATTCGATTTTTCCGCCTTTTCGAACGACGATAGTAGTATATTCCTCATTTAGCTTATCTGTATTATTGGTATACATATCTTTTGGTATTTTACCACCTTGACAAATCTAAAAATAATTTTCATGATAAAAGATATTCTATGATAAAAGTTAAAGTTTTTAAGATAAAATAAAAATGAAGGGAAATAACAAAGTAAAAGCATACCCTGCTATTAGAGTGAAACGTTTTTTACAGGTAACAATTTCAAATAAAAATATTATGTAATAGAACGTTTCGATTTTATTATTAGATCAATGATCAACACTTCATGTGCAAATAAATCCGAATAGACTAAAGTATTATTTGTAAACATAAATCATCAAAAGATGTTAAATTATGAAAATAACATCCACTAATATAACAATAAATTGAAAAAATTGAGAATGAAAAGTAATAAAGATGGGGTGTATATCAGTTGGACACGGGGCAATTGGACACAGTCCAATCACAAGTCGCTGTTCCAAGTCGCCTACAAATGTCTCTAATCACATGGTGCTGTGATTGGCTGTGTCCAAATGCACCGTGTCCAAGTGCACCGCTTCCATAAAGATGTACAAATCGACAAATTTAAATGATTATCTTTCGGAGTGAAATAATATATCCAATACGACAAAAATCTTTAATAGTTATAGAATGTTATTTCAACGATATTGAGAAGCATATAACGTTTTCTAGTAGTTTTTTAGCAGTTTTTGTATTAACATCATTACGAATAACTTAAACATTTTAATATTCCTAAAACATTTCTGCAATATTAAAAAAAAAGTTTTAAAAAGTATTTAAAATACGTCCCACATAACAAAGATGTCCAAAATATATCATAGGGTTATCCTAAAGATATATTTGGGATATATGATATCTTCAAGGTATCTCTATGATATATTTGAGACATTATTGTTCAATGGGATCAGTCGAGACATATTTAAATCTTACATTAATGTATGAAACATTATTTAAATATATAGTAAACAAGAAATATGAAAGTAACATCTCAAACAGCACATGATATTGGGTGTACAACTTAATTCGGTCCGTTTTTTTGCTTGAAAAACGCATTTATTTGAATGATAAAATGAATTAATACATTATTGAAAGTATTGTCCATCGCTAGCCACTACTTTTTCCCATCTTTCTGGCAATTTATGGATTCCGTCGCGGAAGAAGCGTTCATCTTTTGAAGCCAAGAATGAATCGAGCCAATTTTTGATACCCTGTTCTGAAGTGAAGTGTATTCCAGTCAAAGCGTTCTGCATCGATCGAAACAAATGGTAGTCGGAAGGGGCAAGGTCTGGGCTATAAGGCGGGTGAGCCAGAACTTCCCATCCGCTATTTTCCAAATAGTTTTTAACCGGAACAGCAACATGAGGCCGAGCGTTGTCATGGTGAAAGATTATGGACTCGTGTCTGGTCGCATATTCTGGACGTTTTTCGGCTATAGCTCGCTTTAAACGGATCAATTGTCGCCTGTAGAAGTCTCCCGTGATGGTTTGACCAGGTTTTAGCAGCTCATAGTGGATCACACCCTTCTGATCCCACCAAATACAGAGCATTACCTTGGCATCATGGATATTCGGCTTCGGCGTTGATGTTCCCGGTTGGCCGGGCTTTACATACGATTTTTTGCGTTTCGGGTTGTCGTAGTGAATCCATTTTTCGTCCCCGGTAATGATTCGATGCAGAAAAGACTTCTTTTTGTACCGTTCAAGCAACATTTCGGACATGCAAAATCGTCGTTCGATATCTCTCGGTTTCAATTCGTATGGGACCCAATTTCCTTGCTTTTGGATGTATCCCGCGGCTTTGAGTCGTTTCGAAATAGCTTGTTGAGTAACTTCCAATGTTCTTGCGAGCTCTTTTTCCGTTTGACATGAATCTTGATCGAGTAATGTTTCTAATTCTTCATCTTCAAACTTTTTCGGTTGACCCGAACGCTCTTTGTCTTCAACACTAAAATCACCACTTTGAAATCGTCGAAACCATTCTCTGCAAGATTTATCCGACGGTGCAGATTCACCATAAACTTCCACAAGCATTCGATGCGCTTCAGCTGCACTTTTCTTCCAATTGAAACAGAAAATCAAAACTTCCCGCAAATGGTGCTTATTTGGAACGAAACTCGACATTTTCAACGCAGTAAAAATTAAACTTGTTGTGCAAAACTCAAAGGCTTGTAAACAATATTTGGTTGACAGATGTTGACACTTCACGATACAGCAAAAATCAGCTGTCGCCGTCAACCATTTATAGCACCTAGAGCCATCTTTTGAAAACGGATCGAACTAAGTTGTACACCCAATATAATTCAAGCAAAGTGAACTTATACTGAACGTATTATAAATCTCTTACAGAAAAGCATTAGTAAAAAAAGTACTAAAAGATTAATTACTAAAGGAACCATAGTAATTAATTACTTTTTACTCACATGGAACAAAAACCTTTAGTGGACGTCCAAGAGATGTCCATTATAAAGATTCGTAACCTCTATTAGAAATCCATGAAACTGCCAATAGACATCTATTGGACATCCACAGTTCTTCATTTCAAACTTCCATTCTATGTCTATTAAACGTTCTCATAGATGTGCGTGACATAATATAGATTAATCTTAGATTTTTCATGAAACTTAAATAGATGACTAATAGAAGTCATATGAATTTATTATATACAGTCAGTTTTAAAATTATCTTAATATTAAAAGGTTCCCTCACAGCACATTAATATTGCCATAAGGTTATAGCAACCTTGACTTCTAAGATAGTAACATTACACGGAGTAACATTACAACTTGCTATTAACCTTCCAATAATATAAAAATGTTCGTCCATATTTATTCCATTAACATTACAGAAACCTTGTACGGAACATTATACCAGATTGATTGATAAGTCCTTAGAATGAAAATGAAAAAAAACATTTTGTTAGCAAAATTCAACTTTATTCTTTAAAATAATTTCTCTTTAGCTCAGTATACCGAGGCCAACGAGTTTCTAGTTTCTTTAAGTCTTCCAAATAATAAGAAGTTTCTAAATCGCAAAAATATGCGTCTGTTTCCCATTCAACCTCTTCATTTGAAGAAAATCTCTTTTCCTGGAGCTATCATTTGAGATTTGGAAACAGGTAGAAGTCACACAGATCTGGAGAATACGGTGGATGTGGGAGCAATTCATACCTCAATTCGTTCAATTTTGCCATTGCTTTTAGCGATTTGTGAGCTGGTGCATTGTCTTGATGAAAGAGAATTTTTTCTTCGCTAAATGAGGCCGTTTTTTCTTGATTTCATCATTCAATCTGTCTAACAATGTTGCATAATAATGTATCCACTACATGGGCGGCAGCGTCAGCTGTTTGCGAGTTTGGACCGGCGGTATCGATTTAGAAATTGACAGACGATCAGCTGGGCAATGGTGGAGTAAACAAGAAGAAGAAAGGAGAGTCGCGCACGAGCTACCGTCATGAGCTGACGTGTATTATTCGGTCGCGACTTTATTTGTACGATTCTAGGGAAAGAGAGTTCGTGTTGCTAAAATCGTTGTATATAAAGCTTTGCATTTTTATAACTCAACGTATTCTCATTTACTCTGTGCGACGGAACCAGACTCGCGAGAGTGCGACAATTTTGAAGGCTGGTCTGGGATCTGACGAAAATCCAACGGCCGACGGAACGCAACCGCGATCGTAAACGTCTCGGGGGTGATAATGTGGTGAAGCGGTGAATGGTTCTGCGAGTTACAAGGAAGAGACTGCATTTGGACGAGACATGTTCCTTGAGCGCGGAGACGGTCACGGTGCGAAATCTTATGGAGCTGCGGTAACTTCGTGCTGACAGGAAGCGAGAGCGACAAGAGCTACAGGAGCTTCGTAGTCGACTGATCGCAGGCGGAAAACCAATGCACCTAAATCGCTTCCAAAATAACGTTTTTTCGGGAATAAAGTTAAAGCCCGACATTTATGACAGTTCCGTGATTTTATCGGTTAGTTTGAGATGATAGCATGGGCAAACGGATGGGAAGTTTCGATTAAGTTTGTGCAGTTAGCTGCTCATTTGCGGGAAAAAGCGCGTTCAGTTTTAGAATCATTTTGCTGAGGTAAAGTATGATTTTATAATCCCCGTTGTAAAGTAGGGAAAGCTCCAAAGTTGCAATCATATTGGAAGGGACCCTTTGAAATTGTTAGGAAGTTAAGTTGACGAAGTATATTGTATTCAGAAATCGAAAAGATATAGGAAAAGGATAGTTCATTCAGACAGATTGGCCTCTTTTTGCGAACGAACAGTTTAATTCTTTTGTTGAATAAAGATTGAGCTCGGTGTCAAACATGGAGGTATTTGTTGAAAGAATGAAAATTCATTCTTTTTGAATTTCAGAAACACCATTTTTTTCACATCGTTTTCCCGGAATTGTTATCCAGCTTATTGGAATTCTTTTTATGGCGGAGAAAGAAGACTGCTTTACTCATAGTTTTTTTACCGTGATTTTTCCGTCGGTCTTTCAAAGGAAAGGACGAATGCCAAAGCAGGGACTCGGGAAGTTTTCGTTGGGAACGTTTGGGTCCACGAAAATCCTCCCCCCCCCCGTGTGAAAATTAGTTCCAAGAAGGAGATGAGCGGTTCAACGGAAGATTTTGGATTCTGGTCACTCCTGAAGACTGATCACCTCCTGGAGGACGTATTAGGAGTGGACGCTTTTCTTAATTGGGAACAGGAATTTATAAAGTCCGTGAAACCTGTAGCAGCAGCTCAGGCTAGAGCAAGGTCCATAAGGTTTCTTGGGATTAAGAAGAGAACAACCCTTTAAATTGTCGGAACGACAATTTTAAAAGAAACAGGGGGTAATGTTGTATCCGTGCCACTGCATGGGTGACAGTGTCAGCTGTTTGCGAGTTTGAATCGGCGATATCGATTTAGAAATTGACGATCGATCAGCTGGGCAACGGTGGAGTAAACAAGGAGAAGAAAGGAGAGTCGCGTACAAGCTACCGTGACGAGCTGACGTGTGTTATTCGGTCGCGATCTTATTTGTACGATTCTGGGGAAAGAGAGTTTGTGTTTGTAAAACTGCTGTACATAAAG